CAGCCGGCGGCGCGCTGGCGCAAGGAGGAGGGCGAGATGCCACTGGGAAGGTGAGTAGGGGGCGAGGGGGGTGGCTCAGGGACACCAAAGGCAGCCAGGGTCCTGTGGTACAGCTGGGCAGCTCAGTGTGTGTGCCAGCCTGGCATGCTTCAAGCACCTGGCATCCTCATGGCATCAAGTCATTGCATCCCATGACCCTGGCACATCCTCAGCACATCCTGTGCTCCCTATTGCGTTCCACATTCCCATTGTGTCACATCTCCATCCCATTCCACATCCCCCTTTGCATCTCAAATCTTCATTGTATCCCACACTCTTACCGCATCCCGAATCCCAATCACATCCCATATCCTCACTGCAATCCACATCCCTGTTTCATCCCACATCCCCTTTGCATCTCATATCCCTCTCACGTTCCGTATCCCCATTGCATCCCACATCCCCATTGCATCCCACATCCCCATTGCATCCCACATCCCCATCACATTCCACATCTCCATCACATTCTGCACCTCCACCACATTCCACATCCCCATGACATCTCCCATTTTCCTGCATCCCAGATTTCCCCTGTAGCCATCACATCACACATTCCCATCATATCCTCCACCCTCACTACATCCCAACCCCATGGCACCTTACGCCCTCCTGGTGCCCCAGCATGCTGCTGGTGCCCCAGCCTCGCGGGTTCCCCCAGGTGGGAGGTGCTGCCAGACAACACCCTGCGGATCAGGCAGCTGCAGGTGGAGGATGAGGGCACCTACACCTGCGTGGCTGACAACAGCGTGGGCAGGTCGGAGGCATCGGGCACCCTCACTGTGCATGGTAAGGGGGGCCCTGGGGAGCACCCTTGGGTGCTGGTGGAGTGCCCAGACAAACCCTTGTCTCTCCCTGCATTGCTGCAGTGCCCCCCCAGCTTGTCACCGGGCCCCACGACCAAGCTGTCACCCCTGGCCAGAGTGTGACTTTCCAGTGCCAGAGCAAGGGAAACCCACCACCCGCTGTCTTCTGGCAGAAGGAGGGGAGCCAGGTGTGTCTTCTTCCCTCATCCCTGACCCCACACTCAGTCATAGCCCCATCCTCATCCCAATCCCATCAGCATTTCCATTCCATTGTAATCCCCGTCCCAATTCCCACTCCATCCCCATCTCATCTCCATCCCGATCTCATCCCATCTCAACCTCACACCAGTACCAATCCTCATCCCTACCTGTCCTCATCACCATCCCACCACAGTCCCTATTACATCCGTGTCCCCGTTCCATTCCCATCACAGCCCCCATCCCATCCCATCCCATCCCATCCCATCCCATCCCATCCCATCCCATCCCATCCCATCCCATCCCATCCCATCCCATCCCATCCCTGTTCCCAGTCTCATTCCCACCCCTAACCCTGTCCTCATCTCCTCCCCTGCTTCTCACCCCTCATCCCCCACTAATCCCACTCCCTCTCAGACCCTGCTGTTCCCGGGCCAGCCCCCAGTCCCTTCTGGCCGTGTCTGGGTGAGCCCCAGTGGTGCTTTGACCATCATCAACGTCCAGCCCAGCGATGCCGGCCACTACCTGTGCCAGGCCATCAGCGTGGCCGGCAGTGTCCTGGCCAGGGCAGGCCTGGAGGTGACAGGGGGTAAGTCCAGTGCCAGTGCAGAGCTGGCACATCCAGCACATGAGTGACACCCACCCCACCACCCAGCAATTCCCAATTTTCTCGCTGCAGCACCCACTGAACTCCACCCTCCAGTGCTCAGCTTGCTCCCCACTAACCGGACAGTGCTGCCTGTGGGGGCCACGGTGCTGCTGCCTTGTGGGGCGGGGGCCCATGACCCTGCAGGCAGTGTGGGGTGGCTGAAGGATGGCAGTGCCCTGGTAGGTGTGCAGCCCCGTGCCAGCCTGCTGGAGAACGGCACCCTGCAGATCAGCGGCCTCCGGGTGAGCCGGCCCCGGCAGGGGCACCCATGGGGTACTGCAGGGAGGGAGGGGGCAGTGGCTGCCAGGGGGGAGCAAAGGGACGTGGATGCTCACCATGGTGGGTGCAAGCAGTGCTGGGGCTCAGGGTGGTGAGTGCAAAGCGTGGTGGGTACAAAGCGTGATGGGTGCTCAGGGTGGTGGGTACAAAGCATGGTGGGTGCTCAGGGTGATGGGTGCTGAGGTGATGGGTGCTCAGGGTGATGGGGCAGGAGCTCTTCCCCCTGCAGGTGAGAGACTCCGGGCTCTACAAGTGCGTGACCACCAGCCCAGTGGGTGAGACAAGCTGGGGCATCTCCTTGGAGGTACAAGGTGGGTCATGGAGATCTCACCACAGCGGGGACACCGTGGCACTGGGAACAAAGCCACCCAGACCTCCATGCATCTCCCTGCAGGTGATGAATCCAACCTCTCGCTGCCTTCCCCTGCACCTGATCTCCTCCCTGGGCCACCCTCCACCCCTGTGGTCACCAACGTCACTAAGAGCAGTGTCACCCTGAGCTGGAAAGGGAACGAGGACAGTGGTGCCACCGATGCCACCTCTTACATAGTGGAGGCTTTCAGGTATCACACAAGCCGCTTGTCCGGTGGCAGGGATGATGTGGTGGCCTGATACCACCCTGTCATGAGTCACCCCTGTCCCCTGGCAGCCAGGCAGTGGGTGGCCCGTGGCAGACAGTGGCAGCTGATGTGGAGAGTGAGACCCACACAGTGACCGGCCTTGTCCCTGACACTGTCTACCTGTTCTTGGTGCGGGCGGTCAACGCCTACGGGCTCAGTGACCCCAGTGGCATCTCGGAGCCTGTGCGCACGCAAGGTGAGACCCAGCAGGGACATCAGTGGAGGTGTCCACAAACCCCCCACCCGTGGGTCCATCTCCACTTGGTGACACCAATGGAGGTGCCCATGCACCCAAAATCTTTGGGTCCATCCTTGCCCAGTGATGCCAGTGGAGGTTCCCATGGGTATGTGCTGTCACCATGGCTCCTTCCCTTGGTGACACCAGTGGAGATAACGCATGGAGCCTCCACTCTCTCATGTCCCCAGCAGACACCAACTCCATGCAGCAAGGGCTGGATCCTGAGCAGGTGCAGCAGGAGCTGGCACAAGTGGCTGTGCACCTGAAGGAACCTGTGGTGCTGCCACTGGGCACCGTCCACCTCTCCTGGACCGTGAGTGCTGAGCCTCCCTACCGGTACAGAGCTCCCAGAGTCGATCATGCCCCCATCCCACCCTTCCCTCGGCTCCTCAGGTGGAGCACCAGGCCCCCTTCCTCCAGGGCTACCGGGTGCTGTACCGGCAGCGCGGTGGGCGCTGGGAGGAGGCACGGGCAGTGTGGGCTCCGGGGGAACGGGGGGCCCTGCTCACCGAGCTGCGCTGGGGCCAGGACTACGAGGTCAAGGTCCGACCCTACTTCCATCACCTCCATGGTCCCGACAGTGCTGTGCGGGCTCTGCGCACCCCTGAGGCGGGTGAGTGCGGGGATGGAGGGGATGGTGCGGGTCCCTGGGGACAGCCTGGGGGTGATACCCCATGTGTGCTCCACCGGCAGCCCCCAGTGCCCCACCACGAGCTGTCAGTGTGGCTGGGAACGGTACCAGCGTCCGCATCTCATGGCAGCCACCACCCCTGGCTGAGCAGAACGGGGTCATCCGCGATTACCGGGTAAGCGTGGACAGCAGCAGGGGTGTGGCAGCTCCACTCTGTCCACTCATGACACCATGAGCTCCACTCTGTCCTCTCATGGCACCATGAGCTCCACTCTGTCCTCTCATGGCACCATGAGCTCCACTCAGTCCTCTCATGACACCACGAACTCCACTCTGTCCTCTCACGACACCATGTCATGGCATCCTTATGGGTGTTCCCCATTTCTTCCTCCTGGTCCCCACCAGATTTGGTGCCTGGGCAATGAGAGCCGCTTCCACATCAACCAGAGCGTGGAGGGGACGGTGCTGGCGACAGTGTTGCAGGGACTTGTCCCCGGGGTCCCTTACCATGCTGAGGTTGCTGCTGCCACCAGTGCTGGCGTGGGTGCCCGCAGCGCCCCTGTCCCCATCCACATTGGTGAGTCCCTCATTGTCACAGCTGTTCCCCATGGGTGGGGCATGATGTGGTCACCCACTGCGGTGCTGGGGATGGCTCCTTGGCACCCTGCCGGAGTGTCCCTCTTTCCCGTGTCCCTTGCAGCCCCCCTGGTGGAGCGAGGTGCGGGGCCAGCAGCTGGGAGCAGCTTGACTGAGCATCTAGCAGAGGTAGCCAGGCAGCCAGCCTTCATTGCCGGCGTTGGTGGCGCTTGCTGGGTCGTCCTCGCTGCCTTTGCCGCTTGGCTCTACAGCCGCCGCCGGAGGAAGAAGGAGCTCAGCCACTTCACTGGTACAGGGGGTGCTACCCCTGGGACCCCTCACCTTCACCCCCCACTCATCAGCCACCCACTCTCTGTCTCTTTGCAGCATCCTTTGCCTACACACCCACCGGTAAGCCCATGAGTGCTGCGGGGTCCCAGTACGGCCTCTCGCTGCCCTCACCCCCATCTCTTTCCACAGTCGCCTTCCCGGCTCCAGTGCGCAGCAACCCCAGGTAACCCCCCGACCCCCCTGCCCATCCCAGGAGCCCCAGGGCTGAGCACCAGCATTCCTTCACCCCATCCCCCTGCAGGGCAGCTGCCGGCAGTGCTGGTTACCCGTGGCTGGCGGATGCGTGGCGTGGTGGCAGCACAGCCAGTTCTGCCGGGTGTTTGGGGTCCACTGAGAGATACTACAATGGTGAGGGGCCAGCAGGGGGCTGGGTGGCTCTTGAGGGGGTCACGATCAGCCCTGATGATGCTGGTCACCCTCTGCAGATGCTGGCATCACCCGTTACATCGCCCAGACGGAGCAGTTTGGAGTGGGGGCTGCCGAGGGGCCGGTTTACAGCACCATCGAGGTTGACAGTGAGGAGCTGTGCACGTTCCCCCGTCCCTTCTCACAGTATGGGACCTCCTACCTTGCGGGGGGTTCCCAGCCAGTGGATGCTGCAGCCTCCCAGGTGCCCCGTGGCCGGGCTGAGCACGGTAGGGTGGTCAGGTGGGTGGGGGCACACGTGGGTGCTCGTGGTGCTGTGCCCTCCCCACAGCCCCCCCAGCATCCCTCCTTGGCGCAGGGGCCAGAGCAAAGCTGGGGCAAGCCGTGAAACCACCGGCGGTGAGCTGGACAGAGCTGCTGCCCCCGCCACCCTCAGCCAGTGAGCTCAGCCAGTGTGCCCAGGAGGAGGAGAAGGAGGAGGAAGAGGAGGATGAAGAGGAAGAGGCAGCCCGAGGGTGAGTGTGGGGGCTCGGGGGCTGGGCATGCTGCCCCCAGCAGCTACCCTGTGGTCTCCACCCTGCAGGTTGGGGATGGAGGTGTGGTACCCTGGTGAGGACATCCCCTGTGCCACTGCTGCATCCTCACCCACCACCTCCTCGGGCTGCCGCTCCACCGCCACGCTGACACCCTCACCCCGCACCACGGAGGACATCCCCCGCCTCCGCGACTTCGATGGCTCCCTCCTGCCCCGGTAGGAGATGGGCCTTGCTGGGTGTGGCCGTGCCATTGGGGTCTGGATGTCCCATTGGGATCCAGATGTCCCACTGAGGTCCAGATGTCCCACCATGGCCTGGGTGTTCCATTGCCATGTTGTCATACCCAGCCCTGCCATGCCATCATGGTCCAGCTGTGTCGTTACTAGGGTCCAGGTGTCTCATTGGGGTCCAGATGCTCTGTTGGGATCAAGATACCTCATCATGGTCCAGATGTTCCATCACAACGCAGCCATTTTATCACCATTTGGCTCTGCCATGCTGCCATAGTCCAGCCATGCTGCTGAGGTCCAGATATGTCATCTGATGGGACATCCAGGTGTCCCATTGAGCTCTGGATGTTGTGCCCAGTCATGTTTAAACGATCCAGTTCCACCGTTCCACCACAGTCTGGCCTTGCCACTGGACTCTGGATCAGGCTCTGGATGTCCCACCATGGCCTGGGTGTCCTGTCACAATCCAGCCACTCCATCATGATCCTGCTGTGCCACCGTGGTCTGGCCATGCCATTGGGGTTTGGATGCCCCAATGGAGTCTGGGTGTCCTACCATGGTCCAGGCATCTCTTTGTGATCCATCCATGGTGCCACCATCCACCCCTGCTCTCCAGCTGTGCTCTGGCCATGCTGTCATCACACATCCATGGCATTGTGGGTGGCTGGGGCATTGCAGTACAGCTGCACCATCACGAGACAGGTGGGCCATCATCACCCAGCTGTGCTGCTGTGCCCCAGCTCTGCCATGGTCCATCTGTGCCACCACAAGGCTGGCATGTCACTGCACTCCAGCTGTGCAGCTGCAATCAAGCTGCATGGTTGCAATCCAGCTGTGCTACGATCTAGGTGTGTCATGATTTAGCTGTGCAGCAGGAATCTGCCAGTGTGCGTGCAATCCAGATGTGTGGTTATCCAGCTGTGGCACTGCAGTCCAGCTGTGTGGCTGTAATCCAGCTGTGCAGCCTCTATCCAGCTGTGCTCCAGATGTGCCATTGCAGGCCAGCCGTGCCAGGCTGTGGTCCTCCACCCCAGCTGTGCCACTGCACTCATCCCGCTCCCCTTTGCCACCCCAGCTGTGATCCAGCTGTGTCACTTCCACCCAGCTGTAATGCTTCACCCACCTACACCACTGCCATCCAGCTGTGACAATTCCACACAGCTTCTCCTGGCTCTGGCACAGCTCTAGAGGGTTGTGCCAGCCCTGTGGCGGCTCCTGAGCCCCCATGCCGCTCCCCCCACGCTGCCTTCACTCCATCCCTCTTTGCCAGGAGACCCCCGCACGGTGTGGGCACCCCCCCACGGGCACGCAGCCCCTCGGTGGCCCCGGATGCCAGCGAGGGCCGCCCAGCCCGAGCCCTCTGCCCTCCCGGCACAGGTGAGCCCCCAGGGCCCGTGTGGGTGGGTGGGGGTCTCGCTGGCTGTGGAAGGGGCTGACGCTGCCATCCCATTCCCCCCCTCCCCAGGGAAAACCCGCGGGGTGATCTCCAAAAGTCGCCTGAAGCCCAAAAGCAGCCGCTACCGCCGGGAAAAGCAGACGGGAGGTGAGTGGGAGGGAAAAACGGGGGAGTTCAGGAGGCTCAGAGAGCTGAGCCCTGTCCTCCCTCTGTGCCGCAGAGCTGCCGCCGCCGCCGCTGCCGCCGCCCGGAGAGAGCCCCGGGCCCGGTGCGGGGCCGGAGCCGAGCGGGGCCGAGCGCAGGGTCCCGCAGCGCCCGGGCCGCGGTAAGCAGCGCCCCCGGCCGCGCCACCAGGGGCTGCGGTGGCACTGCCGAGCCCCAATCCTGTCCCTCCCCTGCAGATGAGGCCACCCCCTACAGCAAAGCCCCGTGCCCGCCCCGCGGGCCGGTGTCCGGCAGCTGCTCCACCACCGGCAGCGTCTCGTCCCGCGGCTCCGGCAGCTCCCGCGGGCACGGCTCGGGGCGCAGCCGGACCCCGGCGGAACGCGGAGAGGGCGCCGGGCACGGCCGCCGCACCGGGGCACCCTGCCCGCCGCGGGAGAAGCGATAAAAGGGAGGGCGAGTCGGTGACAGAGTTGGGGACACGGGGATGGGACACGGGGGACACGGAGGGATGTTCTTTAATTTGTGATGGCTCCGCGGAAATAGGGTTGTACAGAGGTCATGGCCAGTGGGCGTCAGAGTGAGGGGGGACAGGGATTCTTGGGTGGGGCAAGGAATTCACAAGGAATGAGGACCCCGGGGAGAGACAAGGATGCTCAGGAGGGACAAGGAAAGGAATGAACCCCGGGGACAGAAACAGCTGGGACAGATGAGCAGAAGAGGGATGAGGGCGGTGGGGAGGGATGAGGAAGATGCTTCTGTGGGGTAAGGATCCTGCAGACAAGGACAGCTGGGAGGAACAAGGATGCTGGGAGACGACAAGGATGTCTGAGAGGGATGAAGTGATTGAATGGGAAGGGGACAGTTGTTGGGGGACAAGATTACATGGGGGGACAGTGACACAGCAGATGGATGAGGGTGCTGGTGAAGGACAAGGCTGGCAGACAAGGATGCCTGGAGGGAGGAAGGACAAGGATTTCTAGGGGGATTGAGGATTGCTTGGGAAGGACAAGGACAGCAGTAAGGCTGTAGGGGGATGAGGACAGTGGGGACACTTGGCATGAGAGACAAAACAACTGATGAAGGATGAGGACACTCAGGAGGGATGAGAAGGCTGGGAATGAGGATGGTTAGGAGGGACAAGGACATTTAGAGGGAGCACAAGGCCACTCAGGTGGCTTGGGAAGGATGAGAACATTTGGGAGAGACAAGGATAGGAAAGGTGGGACAAGGATGCTGAGGAAGGAGATGAACTATCAGAGGTCACAAGGACAGTTGGAACGAATGGGAATAGTCAGGGGATCAACAACCCTAGGGAAAGACAAGGACACAGGGTGGACAACAGTGCTTGGGCTGGAGAAGGGTAGTTAGGGGGGATGAAGATGCTGGTGAAGGAGCAGGACACTGAGGGAGGACAAGGACACTTAGAGGGATGCAGACTCTTGGGGAAGATGAGGATGCTGGGGAGAAAGGAGGAATTTGGGAAGGGGTGGGGATGCTGAGGAGGGATGGGGACACTGAGAAAGAAGGAGGACACTTGGGAAGGACAAGAATGCTGAATAAGGAGGGGCACCCACCCACCTAGGTGCCACCACCCTTTGTGGGTGGCTTTTCCTAGTAAAGAGCCCCTGTCTGGGGAACTGCCTAATAAAGCTGGATTTTAGCTGAGCCAAGGGCTCTGGCCTGGCTGTGTCCTGTGCCCTGGGGACTGCCACGCTCCTGTCCCTCCTGTCTGCAGCTCACCACCTTCCCTGGCCCAGGGGCTGCCAATCCCTGGCCCTTGGCCACCTGGAAAGCAAAGGAAACATTTTCCAACACTGTGCAACACCTCACCACCCCCAGTGCCCACCACCCTGGCACTGGGGCGCTGCACACCGTTCTGTGAGCTGCTGTTCACGGCTGCCTCTGTCCTGGCTCTCTGTGGCACCTCCAGCACCTTCCACCAGTCCCAGGTGGCAGAGTGGGCTCCAGGTGGGAAGACCTGCTCCAAGGGTGATGGTGGTGGTGAGGGACCTGCAGGGAAGAAGGCAAGAAGAGATGGTGGCATCACCGTGGTGTCCCAATGGAGCCATCTTCATTGAGGGTGGGGGCTCCAGTTGTGGGTTTCTCTGGGTCTGGATTGAAGGTGCTTGGGACAGTAGTTCATGTTTGGACTCAGGTGTTTATTATTTCTTATCAGTGAAACAGTCTCACTACTGTGAGTTTGGCAGCTTTTCATTAGAAGGCACAAAATGGTCAACAATCTCTTGTTGCAAAGTCTTTTAAGACTAAACTATCCAATTAAGAAATGACACCTGGATTATTTTCATTTTTAACCCCATAACTGATCCCAAAGAACTGCAATGTGGACTTTTCTGCCCAATTACCAAATGCCACCCAAACCCAAGAAGAAGAAGGAAGAAGAAGCATGAAGAAGAAACCCAGGACAACACCCTGTGCCCTCCATCTTGCTCCTATCCACAACATACTAAAAATCCCAAAACCTCAATTTCTCACCAAGTGACACACCTACACTACTCTCTATAATCTATTTCACGCTTTTGTGGATTCCGGTCTATCTTGAAGTCTGGGAAACTTTCTCCATGAATGAGGAGAAAGTTCTCCATGGAGGGTCACTGATTTTGACCTCCATGAATGAGGGTGCACGTCAGTGCTCCCCTGGGGGCCAGGGCACCCCAGAGCAGACACAGAAATACTCCCTGTGGTGCCCTGGGTTTGCACACTTGAGGAGGTGACAATGCTCAGGGTCAGAGAGGGGGTCCAGGGCCCTTCACTCACCCCCGTAGGCCCCATCAGTGTCCTCCAGGCTGCAGCAGAGGCCGTCGACAGCCACGGCCAGTGCCCGGGCAAAGCTGGCGTCCAGCAGGAAGGAGCCGTCGCAGGAGCTCACCAGGCTGCAGCGGGTGCTGGCAAAGTTGTCCTCTGACACAGACCCCCAGCCGTTCAGCAGCGACCCTCCTGGCGAGCCCCCCGTGGCTGTGTGCTCTTCCTCCTCCTCCTCTTCCTCCTCCTCCTCTTCCTCCTCCTCACCCAGCTCAGAGGCTGGTGGCCCATAGATGTAGCCGTAAGTGTGGGGTGGTGAGAAGGAGCGTGGTGTGGTCGGTGCTGGGGGTCTGTGGGGAACACAGGGTGGGTACTGCTGGCACCAGGGGATGCTGCAATCATGGGAGTGCCCCAGGGGATGGGGAATACCTGCAGCAGGTGGTGTCCTGGTCCATCTCCAGCACCTCAGCCACCTGCTGTTGTGTGAGGACCCCGTCGCTGAATGCTGGCGAGAGGCGCCCGTTGGCCAGGGACATGTCCTTGGCATACCTGGTAGCCAGGAACATGTCCCTTGAGTGCCTGGCCTCCAGTGACATGTCCCAGGTGTGGCTGGTGGCTGGGGACATGTCCTTGGTGTACCTGGTGTCCAAGAACATGTCCTTCTGGTGACCAGTGACTGGAGACACCTCCTCGGGACGCCTGATGGCCGGAGATGTGTCCCTGGAGTGCCTGGTGGCTGGAGATGTGTCCCTGGAGTGCCTGGTGGCTGGAGATGTGTCCCTGAGGTGCCCAGTGGCTGGAGATGTGTCCCTGGGGTGCCCGGTGGCTGGAGATGAGTCCCTGGGGTGCCTCAAGGCTGGTGACATGCTTTCAGGGTACCTGCTGCACAGGGACATGTCCCTTGTGTGCATGGTCACCAGCGATGGGTTCCTGGTGGCCTGAGACATGTCCTCAGAGTACCTGGTGTCCAAGAACTTGTCCCTGTGGTGCTCAGGGACTGGGGACATCTCCTCAGGGTGCCTGCTGAGTGGGGATGTGTCCCTGGGGTGCCCAGTGGCTGGCAATGTGTCCTTGGGATGCCTCAAGGCTGGTGACATGTTTTCAGGGGACCTGCTGCACAGGGACATGTCCCTTGTGTGCATGGTCACCAGAGATGGCTCCCTGGGTATTTGTTGGCTGGGGACGTGTCCTTGGCATACCTGGAGGCCAGGAACTTGTCCCTGCAGTGCCTCGTGCCTGGTGACATCTCCTTGGGGAGCCTCGTGCCTGGGGATGTGTCCTTTGGGTGCCTGCTGGCTGGGGACATGTCCTTGGGGTGCCTGGTGGACACTGAGATGTCCCTCTGGCACCTGGCTACTGGTAAAGGGTCTCGGGGACACCTGGTGACCAGGGAGGTGTCCTCAGGCTGCCTGGTGGCCAAGACTGTGTCCCTCTGGTGCTTGGTTGCTGGTGATGGATCCTTGTGGTGCCTGGTGGCTGGTGACATGTTCCTGGGGGTCCTGGTGGCTGAGGACACATCCTTAGGCTGCCTGCTGTCCAGGAACATGTCCTTGGGGTGCTCAGTGACCAAGGACATGTCCCTAGGGTTCCTGGTGGCCGGTGACACACCCCTGGGGCTCTCTGTGACTGGGGACCTGTCCCTGGGGATCCCAGTGACTGGGGACATGTCCTTGGGATGCCTGGTGGCCAGAGATGTGTCCCTGGGGCACACGAAGGTCGGGGACCTGCAGGTGCAAGGGACATGCTGGGTTTCGCAGTGAAGGGCGGGGTTGCAGGGCACTCACCTGGATGGGGACACCCAGACTCACCGTGTCACCGGTGGGTGCCAGGCATGGGGTGGTCTCGGGGGTGTCACTGGTGACGTGGTTGCACCAGAGGCCAGCGGGGTGCTGCCCCGGTGTGGCTTTGGAGAGCTGAAGGCCGGTGGCCGCGGGTCCCTGCTGTCCATCCTGGCAGTGGCAGTGCCACCCTCGTGTCCCCTCTGCTGAGGCTGCCTGGCTGCCAGCCCCAAATCTGTGCCCCACTCGCCTCCAGTCCCAGGGCCAGCCACGAGCAGCGGGGTGCTGTGCACCTGGTGCAGCTCTGTGAGGGGAGTGAGGGACATTGGCCATGGGCCATCGCCGTGGTGTCCCCCCTGTCCCCCCATGTCCCCCACACCCACCTCTCTTGCGAACGCGCTCCCAGGGCGCTGGGTTTGGGGTGCTGGGCGAGGAATGCACCCCGGGGTGCCCCCCAGCACAGCACCCCATGTCCCCGAGGGGGGGTGGGTGTCCCCCACGGAGGCTGCTGTGGATGGGGGGTGTGGGGGGGCCAAGGCTCGACGGCTCCAAGGAGAGGGCTGGAAGAGTAAGAGAGGTCAGGGCACCCACGAGGCCACATGTCCCCTGTCCCCTCTGTCCCTGGGTCTGTGTGTCCTTGCTGCCTGCAGACAGACAATGGGGAACACCAATGTGAGGATCCCATGGCACTGGGGGTCCCCAGCATAGGGTGGGGGTCTTGGGTACACTTTGCTGGTCCCATGGCACTCTGTGGGGTCCTAGCCTGGGCTTGGGGTTCTGTTACAGCAGGTCAGGGTTCCATGGAACTGGGTGGGGATCCAATGGCATCACACGGGATGGATGGGGGTCCCATGGTACTGGTGGGGGTTCCAGGCCAGAGAGTGGGGGCTCAATGGAAATAGGTGGG